AGCCTCAGGGACCTAGGGACTCCCCAGACCTATGGCCAGTCACCAGAAGACTCCATAGGCCTCATGAGGGGACAAGTCCAGGCATCGAGGGTGACGTGCCTAAGCCTGGCCCAAAAGCTTCTCTGCCCTGTGCTCATGGGGGAGAACTATGAGCAACAGAGGATGCCAAGTTGTCTAACGGAGAAGTTGGTAAGTGGGAGAGGGAAGGAAGCCACAATGTGTGGACATGTCATAAATGAAACAACTTCCACAAAGGTGACAGCCGAACTGGAGCTGCCCACCCCACAACACACCTGGAGGCATCTCAGTGCAGGCTCACACCTCCGGACGGGCTCTGTGCTAGAGACACAGAGATGAGTCCTTGATTCCTTCCTTGAGCCTCCCATGGGACTCAGGCAAGTAAAGGGCTGTTTGCTAGGACTAAATCCACACCTCCCTGCCTGCCTTAGGCATGCTCTAAAGAACTCCAATGTTAGGGTCAAACAGGCTAAGGTCTGACTACCAGTTCCACCTCCCCATGGCCTTAGATAAGTTACTGAATCCCTCCAAGCCTTACTGTTCTCATCTGTTAAGTGGGGTGGATGTGAGGATGACATGAAATCATGCGCATCAAGTTCTTAACACAAGGCACAGCACACAGTAGGTTCCCACCAAGTCCCTTCCTGCCCCCGCTCACCGCATGCAGTGAATACTGAGCACCTACTATGTGCCCAGTGGCACCCCACAGCATCTTTTATTTTTTCATTTTATTTTAATTTTTTGTAGAGACAGGGTCTCACTGTTCCCCAGACTGGTCTCGAACTCCTGGCCCTAAGCAATCCTGCCACCTCAGTACCACAAAGTGCTGGGATTACAGGTGAGCCACCATGCCCAGCTCCCAGAAAATCTTCAACAACCCAAACCCTCACATTTGCTCAGCAGGTAAAAACACTGTCACCTCCAACCAAATGAGGAAGCAGGCGAGATGAGAGAGCCCCAAGCCTAGGCCTTCCAGGTGCTGAGACAGGGGCTGCTCTGGAGTGGATTCTGTGCTGGGAATGGCTACTTTTAAGTTTTTGGTTGGTTGGTTGTTTCTGATTTGCCTTGGTGGCTCATACTCAGATGAAACCTGCAGTCTATTGCTAATTCAAGGGAGAACCTCAGCAATCATGACAATGGGCTTCCTTAGTGCTCAGTCAATTAATTTACTCCTTAACTCCGTTTGCCTCTCCTGTTTGCTACTAAATAAGGCCATATCAGCAGTGCTATCTCCAAATCTGAGTTAAACTGCTCACGGCATCAGTTAGTTCCCTTTAAACGGCCCCCAAAAATTCTTGTCTGACGTCCTAGGCAGCTAAATCTGTCCTTTGGCTTTGGTTTGGTTTGGGGTGAGGTATTTTTTTTGTTTTTGCCGAGGTGTGGGTTTTGGGGGTAAGTGTCCTGAAGGCAGTTCCAAGAAGTAATGGGGAACTCAAAATGACCTCATTTGTCCGTACTCAATTCGAACATCTAAATGGTCTCACTAGAGAAGGAATCTTGCCAGCTATCGCCGCCCATGCCTGCAAAGATGGAAAAAGCCGAGATGAAAATTGGAGATAAAGCATCTAATGAATCAATAGTTTCATCCTTTTCACCCTCCAAGCATTTTAACAGCCTTAAGTGAGCTAGCCAAATCGACAGACATCATTTTAGCTTTTTTCCTTTTCCCTGTGACTGAGGTGCAAAAGAAGAGTTCAAAGGGCTAGAGGTCAGCAACTGAGAACACACAGCACGCAGGGAACATACTTAAACAGTGAACAGTTTTTTAGTATGCCTGAAATGCAAATTTAATGGGAAATCCTACGTGTTTACTCGCTGAAATCATTATGCCACGTTTGGTGCCTGAAACACCACTGATGCTCCATAAATACTAAGGAATGAGTACATGTTACTCTAGTAAGAACTCAGCGATGGCTGAACCAGGCAAAATCCAAACTCGGCTTACCTTCTATGCAAACCAGGACCTAGGAATGACCTCTCTTGATTTGGAGCATTACAAACTGCGGAATTTCAGAACATAAAGGTTCACAGCATCAAGCTAGAAGTTCCAAAAAATTTGACTAAATAGTAAAGGGTTTTCACAAAAACTAAATAGGAAGGGGTTTTCACAAAGAAACACCCAAACCAGGCCAGAAACGATTTCCAAACAACAAGATTGGCACCCAAAAAACCAAAAAGATGAATCTATATAGAAGAGGTCCAAAATCTCTGGGTACCCATCCCAGGCAGGTCCTGCTGTCGATTTTATGACATGTTTACTTCACCTTCTTCTCCCATGGGCCCGAAATGAGGAAGCTGTAAAATCCTGGCCAAATACAACCATTTGCTAAGAGAAAAGCCAACATGGGGCCCATCTGTCCTTTACAAGTGCTCTGCTTGTCCTGCCTTTGTGTGGCTGTCACCGTTTACAGAGAGCGGCCCATCTCCCTCAGAGCACCTGGCTGAGGCCTTGGCTGGGTTTTCAGTACTGTCCCGGAGAAAACTCTTTTTTTGAGGCCTCCAAGGGAACTCCTGCAGAGACTGATGCTCTTCTCTAGGCTGAACCACAGCCCTTCCTTCACGGCCACCATATTGGATTCGCATTATCTGTTTACAGCCCACAGGACAAGGAGCTCTCCTAGGGCAGAGCCAAGCAAAAGGCATTCCACACAATTGCCCTTCATAAACAGCAAGGAAGTGTACCTCTCTTCTGATGGGAACCCCAAAACAAAGCAGTGAGGGGGAAAAAAACTACCCTGAAATCAATATCCAGTGTTGGACCCACTAGCCACATTCTCCATCTTATGATATGGGAGGGAAAATATCACGACGTGGCTTCAAACCACAAAGAGATTTCCATGGAATTCAAGAAGTCCCTTTAGCAGTTCTCATTTTAGGCAGAACTTAGGAGAGAGGATAGTGATGGCAAACACAGGTGGGGGGCAGTGGGGAGGAACTGAACAAGGCCTCTATTCTGCTCAGCACAGGTGCTGGTAACAGGACACCCCTGTCTAAAGTGACACATGGGGTGGAAGAATCAGGTGTGGTTAGGATTTTCTTGCCCCAGTCACATTATGTACTCCTAACCTCGTACAAAGTTCTACCCGCAGCAGGCCCAGTTCAGCTCTCGACATGCTGATTCTTGAGCAACAAGGGTGAAGAAAATATTTGATTTCAGACATCCAACTTTGTTTTTTTTAACCAAGTTAATTATTAAAAGAAGAAAGACACCCGCAGAGTGAGCTGTCCTCAATTTTGGCCAGCAAAGTCTCCTGGTCTTAAAAACTCCCCAGACATCACCAAAATCGATGCTGGTTCAATGACTCAAAAGCAAAGGCACAAAGCTGCTGTTTGAGACATGGCGCCCTCCCTTCCCAGGGCTTGGATAGAAACTCCAAAAAGATTCCAGGACCTCCTTGATGCAGTCAAGATTGTCCACACATCAGAAGGCAGTCAACAGTCACTTCCAGACTACTATTCCCTGGACAAACCAGCTGTGGGTCCTTCCCTCCAGCCACGTGAATAATTGTCTCCCCTTTCCTCTGGAACCAACTCACACCAGCCAATTTGGTCAGTGATTTACTAATTTGCATGGATGAGAGGAAAGGCAGCCAGTAGGTGATTCTGCACAACACCGTTCATTAGTGACCACCACCACAGCAGGGTAGAATAAACGGGAAACAAACCACCAGGTTTCCTCTCGTCAAGGAATCGATACCTTATTTACTAGCTGCTGCTTGCTTTACATGGTGCTGTTCCCCAGTAGAGAAAGAGTCAGGATTTCTTCCATGCCTTACCCCCTGAAAAGGAGAAAACCCATGCCCTGACAGCCAGCCGAGGACTCAGACGAAGTATCTTTAGAAGAAAGCACAAAGAATCCTCTCTCTCTTGCTTTTTTCCATGTCTTGAGGTTCTCTGGTTTCAGAAGATAGAGGGTGCCAGGCCTTGAAATTATTCCCTTTTTTAACTGTTTTTTTTTCTTTCTCCAAAGAGGAAATTGACTCCCTTCCTGTGCTGCTGTACATTTTGAAGAATCAAATGCTACTAATAAAACCATTTTCCTTATCCTTTTCTCACCCAGGCCAACATCACTTCTGAGAAAATAACCTAAAAATTTTTATCAAGATGGCATTCCAAGTGGGTTTCCGACATTTACGCTTTTCCCTCAGAGCAAACAGAAAAGAGACCAATGGCATTATAAACCCATTATGGGAGTTTAAAGAAAAGAAAAAGAGGTCATTAGAAAGTCAGTTGATTTCAAATATTAAAAACTGACTTTTGTTGCTGGTGACTTCATGCATCTGCACACTACATACTGCTTATCAGATTTGTTCAAATTTAAAAATTTTAAATTTCCATTTAAAATGTCATCGGCATCTAATCCACGATGAAGTCTTTTAAGAAGCAAAGTCCAAGAAAATATTCCGAATTGTCTTATGCATAAACAATCTAGGAAATCAGACACTCCCTCTTTCTCCTTATCTCTCGAATCTCCGAAAGTCTAAAACTCTGCAGAACCCAAGGCATGTTTTAGTCTTCCACTCCACCTTGCTTTTAAAATTTTACTGCCAAAACAAAACGAACTAAAAAAAAAAAAACTTCAAAATAAATGATTTCCCACAGGATACTGAACAAACCTACTAAACTCAAAGGGAAAGAAGTCAGGATACACAAACTCTAGATTCCGCCGTGACTGGGCATTAAAGAAGATGTCTTTATTTTTAATTGGAACCAGGCAAGGGAAAAAACACCACCTTGGCACCCGTGAGGCCCCAGCCAGGGCATACTGCCACACAGCCACAGGATGGCAGGTGGAAAGCAGGACAGCCCACCCTTTGGGCAGGTCACCTTCCGAAGGGCTTTTGATTCAAACCAGTGAATGGGAAGAACCGAGCCTGGATTCTGGATTAAAGAACAAAGAGAGAAAAAACTCCAGGTGTGATCACTCCAGGGCTGCAGTGGACAGATCCGTCAGATCACTGGGTTCCTTGTTGCTGCTGAGGGGTGGGAAACATCCATTTATCTCCTCAAAAAAACACAGGCGGCTTTACCAACCTATTTCAAATTCCTCCCCACAAGATCAGAATACACCATGTGTGCCTCAAACCAAATCCTGTTTGACTATAGGATGTGTAGAATTTAAGTTTAAAATTAAGGCCAGAGCCCAAGGAGGGAGGACCCATCTCTGTCTCAAAAGACCACTTCAATAATTCAGCGTGCACTGGGGGCAACAGAATGAAAAGGGCTGTCTTTCAACAGGGAATAATCCATCTAATTCCAAGGGCCTGGATTATAAGCATTCCTGGACAAGCAGAGTCTGGCTGCAGATTATGCTATGCTAAGGACAATTTGTGACAAAAGGCACGAGATCTGTAGAAAGATTTCAAAACGGACAAGACCAGGACAGAGGCACCTTAGTAAAGTTCACCCTGGGTGAGGTGGCAGTTGGTTCTGAAAGGTGGAAGCAGGCCATGACAGCTGAGCATTCCTTCCCAAAGACCATCTCCGAGGCTCGGAGCCTCTCTAAACCTTACACTTCATCAGACAAAAGCTCCTCCAGGCGCCCAGGCAGCGGCTGAAGAGGGGCTGTCCACACCCACTCGGTGCACAGCTTTCCAAACCTGCCCACTCGTTTTGGAAGCGGGCTTTTAATTAAACACCACCTCCCCGGATCGGGATCTGTTGAGGCAAACTGCGGCTGGGCCAGAGCCAAAGAGAAGCTCCCTAAATACACATTAAAAAAATAATTTCCCCCACCGCCCCCAATTCCCACCTCCAGCCAGCTCGCGCGGCTGGTTTTATTTCCTCTGGATGAATAACACGGGGCCCTGGTCTATCTCTAGGCACCAGAAAATCCACCTCCGAGGATCAGGTTATGCCCAGTCCCACCCTTTGCAGGAAAAAGCTAGGGTGTTGTTCCCCGCCCCCACACGCGCGCGCGCGCACACACATGCACGCGCGCACACACACACCATCTTCACAACCCTTCCAAGAGAAAACCTAGAGTGTGTGTCCGTTTGGGTCTGGGAGGGCGGGATACAGTTATTTCGGGGGCCCCAATCTTGCCTTCAGGTTCAGCTGGGGGAAGGTGGGGCCCCTGCAAGGCTGCCCGGGAACTTCGGCCCGCGCCCCGCGGGAGGGCTGAGAGAGGGCGCGCATAGCTTTACCAGCTTCGGAACAGCCCAATTAATAACTAATTTGCTCAGATCCCCCACTCCAAGTAGACCTGACAGCCGAGGAGGGACTGGCTTTCCCTCTCAGTCTGCTAGGCTAGGGGACTCCTTCCTGCGCGCGGGCAGAGCCCTCACTCCCTCCCCACCACCGCGCCAGGCGCCCCCACCCCGTGCCCGGGGGAATCAGGTGTCCGCCCGGGCATCCAGCCCCCGCGGGTCCCAGACATTCAGTTCAGGGACAGACAATGGGAAAACTTGGAGCCAGTGCCCTGAGCCCCCGAGGGAAAGAAATGGTGCCGCCCCCTGGGACAATGAGCGGGGAGATGGCGTGGGACAGCAGACACCCCCCAGAGAAGCCGCCCGCCTAGTGACCCAGCAGAGCCTGGAGCAGCACCCCGGGTGAGCAGGTGACACCAGAGCCGGGAGCTCCCGCAGGTGGCTGGCGGCCACGGCGCAGGGAAGGGCCGGGCGGCCGGCCCGGGGTGGAGGCGAAGCGCGGCGGCGAGGTCAGAGCCGGCGGCCGGCTCCGCAGCCGCACCCCTGGCGTCCTACCTTCATGTCGCTGATGATGGTCTGGAAGAGGCCTCCGAGCGCGCTGCATTCCTTCTCAATCACAGCCTCCATTTTCCCGGCGCCGGCAGGGCGAGGGCACACACGCGGGGCCGCTGGACTGCGCGCGGGGCCGGGGCTCGCTCACCCCGGGAGGAATTTCACCCACCTCGGATTCGCAGCTTCTTCTGCAGCGAGGCCGGTGTACACCAACCCGACTGTTCTCTGCCCAAAATAATAACAACAGTAATTTTAAAACCAAACCGCTCTGTAGGGTATTCGCCTACATGCAGCGCTCGGCTCCTGGCCTTAAAAATGCCGGGAGAAGACTGACAATCAGGCCACCACTGGTGCCCACTACGGAAACGGCAAAGCCCATCTTGATGCAGAGAAAACCGCCCGCTGACCCGGGGCCAGCGCCATTGAAAAACTCAAGATTTTCCAATTTAATAAATTTTTCTGCAATTAAGAAAAAACCGCCCAACACCAGAGCGGGTCTGCTCGCGGCGTCCGGATCTGTTGCTCGCAGCTGCGGCCGCCGCCTCCTTTTCACTCCTGCGCGCCCGGCCCCCGGCGCTCGCTCTGGCTGGGCTCCCGCGGACGTTCGGAGGGGCGCACGCGCGCTCGCGGCCGTGCGTCCGCCGCGCGGGGGCGCGCTCTCGTGGCTGTGCGGCCGCCGAACGCGGGCGGGGCTGGGAGCGCGCGCCCGAGAGGCGCGTGGGGCACTCGCCGCAAAGAGGAGCCTGCTGGTCTGCTGGCGGGCAGGAGGCGCTGGGCCGGAGCCTCTCCCTCCGGTGCGCACCGCGCACCCTCTCCTCCCCCGGCCGCCCGTCGCAGCGCGGAGAGGGCGTGTCGGCACCCTCCCTGGCGAGCGCCCACCCTACAATGGCTGCGAGCGCGCGGGACGGGAGGAATGGAGGGTGCACCGCCGCTCCCCGGGGATTTGCATGGGTGGCGCGCCTAGCCCGGAGCCCGCTTGTAGTGAGCTCTTAGTAGGGCGGGAAAGCTGCTGCAGCTACTGCGGCCTTCTGAGAAAACGCCCATTCTCTGATGTTAGGACTGCATCGCCCAGTCCTGATTGCAAATAGCGAAATATACAATTAAGGAGAGTTCAGGGGCGTATCCTGCAATGGGATGCCGAGTTCGATAAAGTTGCAGGATGCTGGGAAAGTGGATTGATTTGCTGTTGCTAAATGAATGGAAACAGCGTTAGAGCTTCTGTCCACGATCCATCAATCTATCGAGATTGCTGACTGCCTCTGACTTGGAAGGTTGATGGTTTTCAGGCCCACTGAGAGCAGCCAGCGTTGGTATAACCGCAGGGAGCCCTCCTGAGAGGTTGAACCTGCAAAGAGCACAAATGTGCCCATGTTGATTTGGGGCCTAATGGTCCGTTTTCACAGCTACACTGCCTATCTGCATAACCAGGAGCCCTCATTCAGATGAACGCCAAATGGGACAGAGGGAGGAGAATCAAATGAGCAACTTTTAAAAGATCTTAAAACATAAGCACCTAACTCCGGACAGTTCCTCTGACTCTTGAGCTAACCATTTGAAGTACAAAACATAACAAAAGAAAAGACTGGGGGGAGTGGGGCCAAAAGCAACCAAGGCCAAAATGCTGTACACTTGTGTCAGATTCACTTCGTAATGGGAAAAGGTCTGGCTTTGAAAACTTTATGGATCAAAGGGATGCATGGAGTTACATAGCACAGCTGCAAAAGATAATATTCCCCTGGATCACTCTGCCCAACTCTTAACTGCAACTCACCTTCCCCACCCGACTCCCGGAAATCACCAGGAAGGGTGTTACCTTCAGGAAGTAACTGATCTCTTGATCACCCCTGCTGGATCCTGTCCCCAAGGGCATTCAAATGCATCCGACTCATCTTCATCTTGCCAATAACGGGTGCTTGACACATAGTTTGCTGCCAATCATTATTGTGACTTTAATACTACTGGTATTCTAACGATCAAGATGACTACTTGTAGAGTCTGATTGCTGGGATTCAAACTCCAGTTTACAACCTACTAACTGTATATACCCTTGGGTACGTTACTTAAGCCTTCTGGGCCTCAGTTTCCTCATCCATCTGTAAATGGGGATAATGATGGCTTCCACCTGATAGGGCTGTTCTGAACATTACATGAGCTAATCAATGAAAGCAAAAGTGGTACCTGGCGTCTAGTATATAATCATTCGATAAATCTTATCAACAGAAGAAGTAGGGATGAGGCCAAGGCTCAAGTCCAGCCCTGGCCCCGTTTCAATTCTGTAACATTGGCATGCTGTCCCAGGGACATTGCTGAGGGTCTACTGTGTGCAATCTGGGCATTTTACATGTATTATGTCTACTTGAAGGAAATTATCATTCTGGTCCTCATTTCACTGTTGGAAGGAATCCAACCCCGGTTTTCTGACTTCCATGCCCCAGGTCTCCCTTTTACCCAGCCTCCTGAACTCCTGGGATAAGGGACCTTAGCCCAGTGGACACTTGGTCCAGCTTTCCTACCACATGCTTAAATTTTAATGCCCCAAATACCCCAACTTTAGCAATGTTTGCCAAAGCACACCTCTCTTGTGACCTTTTTCCCTTGGCCTGACCACCAGGCCCTTTTCTCTCATGAGAAAGTGAAGCATCCCAAAACTCCTTGAAAGGGAGGCTGGAAAAGTGTTCCCAGATGCAGGAAAGTGGGAGGGACACCTGGCACTGTTTTTTTTTTTTTTTGACTGAGCCTTGCTCTGTCACCCATGCTGGAGAGCAATAGTGCAATCTCGGCTCACTGCAACCTCCACCTCCCAGGTTCAAGTGATTCTCCTGCCTCAGCCTCCATGTTGGCCAGGCTGGTCTCGAACTCCTGACCTCAGATGATCTACCCACCTTGGCCTTCCAAAGTACTGGGATTACAGGCGTGAGCCACCGTGCCTGGCCAGCTGTCATACATTCTTTCCTTGTTTTCAGATTCTCTTTTGTTTCTGGCTGTTGGGGACTTCCCTTCTTTTAGGCTGGCTCTGCATATATTTAAAGAGATTCTGATTACATTTTACCAACTGTGTCTACATGACTATGGCAGGAGGTGTTTCAGGTTATAGAATCTGCCTCTGTGACAATAGGGGGTCCCTTTTCTGTTGTTTACGTGATGAAATGTTGGGTTTTGTGTAATGTATAATATTTTACACTTTTAGGTAAACTCAGATGCCTCTGATGGATTCGAAATAACCAGATATATTTCTGAATTGCTTCATATGGTATGTAAACATAAGGTTTTGTAAAATAATATGTTTTTCATGCTCTTTTATTGCTACTCTGACCAGACCCTTATCTTACTTATAAAATATATATTTTTCTCATCATGCTTGTATGGTACAGAAAGAGCTAAGCCCCAGAAATACTGTTAATGAGAGGGAGATCAGGACCCAGACAGTCTTGGTTTATAACTTGCAGCAGGGCTATCTGCTCCCCTGAGAGCCCAATTCTCCATATCAAGGCATTGCAGAAGTCAAATTAGTAGTCAGCAGGCAGCTTGGGAGCACATATACAAAGCAAAGGAGATTGGATGCTCCTGGGAGAACAAGCGTGGTTTGGCACAAAGCAGGTGCTGAAGAAATGTCTCAGGAATGGAACCCAATCAGGTTCCTACCCCACCGGAGAGCAGACACAATATCCTGGCAACCTAGAACCACCAGATACAGCCTCTCTTCTTCAAACAGTCCTGGAGAAATACAAAATATTACGACTTCTTTCCCCTTTTGGATCTTCCAACCCCGCTATTTGACTCCCGTGATTGGAAGCTACAAACTGGCCTGCAGAGGAGTTTCTAAAATTGGGAAATCTAAAAATATTTAGAAATTGGGAAACTTCACCTCAAGGTACAAAGTTTCAGCATTTCCAGGAAGATAGGAACATGTGGCAATTCAGGGCTCACATTCCCACCTGGCCTAGGCCTGCGGGGCAGCTGGTCCTTGAGGGGAGAATTTGCTCTTTACGCTCCCTGCCACCTGCTTCGGCCTTGCTACTAATCAGTTCATCACCTTTCAGTGGTCTCCTGCCCCAGTGACACATTCTGGACATTGGGGTTTTATTTGGGCATTTTCCAGCCTACCATCCACAAAACACATACGAAACATCTCTTAGGGTGAGTCACTGTGACAGATATTTTTAATTGATCCTCACTAATTCCATTTTCAAAAGGGCCCTGTTTCTAAATGGAAACTCTTACATACTGATAACTCCCTAATTTGTCTAAAGAATTTAATGACTCAGATCAGAAAGAATTCTGCTTATAGGTGACCAGGGCAAGCTTAAGCCAATTTTGTTTCACAGATGAGCTATGGTAATAATAAATACACAAATAACTAACCTTTAGTATATACTTACTGTGTGCCAAGTGCTATCCTAAGTAATCTCACTCAATCCTCACAAAGCCTTAGGAGTTAGCACTTCGATTATCCTTATTTTACAGATGAAAAAAACTGAGGCACAGAAGGTGGGTCAGGAGGGAGGAAGCAATATAGCTAGAATTCAAACCTAGCAGCATGACTTCAAGCCCAGTGTCTTAACCACCTCACATAACTGCCTCTAATGCAAAGACCCCTCACGTAGTTCAGAAGTTTCACAAACACTGCCTTAAGTCTCGTAGCGAACTGGGAGGCCCCACAGAGCAACCTGGCTGTGCATTAGACTCACCTGAGGAGCTTTTAAAACATACCCAAGCTTGGCTGGGCACGGCGGCTCACATGTATAATCCCAGCACTTTGGGAAGGTGGGAGGTGGGAGGATCACCTGAGCCTAGGAGCTCAAGACCAGCCTGCGCAACATAGCGAGACCGCATCTGTACAAAAAATTAGCCAGCTGTGATGGCATGTGCCTACAGTCCCAGCTACTCAGGAGGCTGAGGTGAGAGGATCGCTTGAGCCCAGGAGGTCAAGGCTGCAGTGAGATGTGTTCACACCGTTGCACTTCAGCCTGGATGACAGAGCGAGACCTTGTCTCAATAAAAAAAAAAAATTGTTTTTAATTTTTTTTTGAAAAGGCCAAGCTTGAAGCAAATACCATAATGGGGTAACATTTGGGAAATCTAATGAAGGGGAAATGAGATATCTTTGTACTATTCTTGCAACATTTCTGTAAGTCTGAAATTATGTCAAGATAAAACATTAAAAGAAAAAGGAATGAATTAGAATAATATTCATTGACCTGGAGGAATTTCTGCAGAAATTATTGTGTTCATAGTAAGATCCAGAAAAGTATGTGTTTTGTGATCCTGCTTCTGTAAAACAAACATTAACAAAATCCGTCCACACACACCCATTCACATACACACATATGTCTGTATGTCTTTATGTGATGACAGAATAAAACATGCATGATACATTTTTTTAAAATCCCATAGCCAATCCCCACCAGAAGTTCTTCTCAAATTGTTTAGGAGTAGAACCTGGTCCTGGGTACTTTCTTTGAAAGTTTCCTAGATCAGGGTTCTTAATGTTGCCACACATTTGAATCACCTGGGAAGCTCTGAAACAGCCTGATGGCCAGGTGACAGCCCAGGACAAGTAAATCAGACTCACTGGTAATGGAGTCCAGGTACGGGTGTTTTAAAATTCCCAAGGGGATTCCAATGTACAGCCAAGTTTGAGGACCAGGAAGGGTCCTTGGAGCAGCCAGAGTTGAGAATCACTCCTGAGGAACAAGGGAACTCATGTGTGTAGCCCTACTATGTGATAGGCCTTTGACATCCACTTTAATCCTAGGAATAGCCAGTGAGGTAGGAACTCCCGAGGAAATAGAGGCTGCCCCCAGAGATCAGATAGCCTGCCAGAGGTCACAGAGCTAGGAGAAGGCAGCACACACTCTAACCGCATCATCCACTGGGCAGTTTGACAGGAAGCAGGGAGGGGAGTTGTTTTGGGAAGACTTCATTGACTCTCAATCTCTCTTCTCCAAGACCACAGGGGTTGAAATTCATCTAATGGAGATTCTTTCCTTTGGATTCTTCTTTTAGGAGCTGTTAAAAACAGTAATGGGCCAGGCACGGTGGCTCACACCTGTAATCCCAGCACTTTGGGAGACTGAGTCGGATGGATCACAAGGTTAGGCATTCAAGACCAGCCTGGCCAACATGGTGAAACCTCGTCTCTACTAAAAATACAAAAATTAGCTGAGCATGGTGGCGGATGCCTGTAATTCCAGCTACTCAGGAGGCTAAGGCAGAGAATTGCTTGAACCCGGGAGGCAGAGGTTGTAGTGAGCCGAGATCATGCCACTGCACTTCAGCCTGGGTAACAGAGTGAGACTCCATCTCAAAAAAAATAAAAATAAAAATAAATAAATAAAATAAATAGTTGTGAAAGGAGTTGCATGTTAATAGGATCTTGATGTCTGCACAGTGAGTGTTTGATATTTTGAAAGGAGGGGAAAGTCAGAAAGATGCTCAAATGTGGGACAATAATCTAATTTAAGGGGGTAGGTGTGATCTTTTGTCATTTTCCTGCTCAAAATCCCTCCGTTCACCAGCCTCATCCCAGGCCTTATTGAAAGTTTCAGGTGTGGCCAGGCATGGTGGCTCACACCTGTAATCCCAGCACTTTGGGAGGCCGAGGCAGTCAGATCACTTGAGGTCAGGAGTTTGAGACCAGCCTGGCCAACATGGTGAAACCTCGTCTTTACTAAAAGTACAAAAATTAGCCAGGCAAGGTGGTGGGCACCTGTAATCCCAGCTACTTGGGAGACTGAGGCAGGAGAATCACTTGAACTCAGGAGGCAGAAGTTGCCGTGAGCAGAAATCATGCCACTGCACTCCAGCCTGGGTGATAGGGTGAGACTCAGCCTCAAAAAAAAAAAAAAAAAAAATAGAATGTATGATAGCTGATGCTTCAATTGCCCTAGGAGGAGTCCTTGATTTCAATAATCCAAGGGCTTAGCCTCCGTGTTCACCCCCAAGGAGGACCAGAAAAAGAGTTCCCAGTTCCATGCAAGTCAGGAATGTGCCACTGAGAGCCACCTGCAGAGCTGGGACACCCCATAGCTGCTGTAGTTCAAGGGCAAGTGGACAAGAAACAATCTGCCCACCAGGACAGGTGGCCAGCACAGCAGCCTGGCAGTCTTAGTCTGTCTGGAATCTGGGTAGAAGTGAAAAGCATTCAGTGAAAAAATTGTGACAGAGGCCTGCACCACAGCTGCATTTGGGCGTTTCAGTTCGCCATATCTTAAATGGATCCAAAATACCGAAAATGAAAATTACTGTGAAAAATTGTTCCTGGTCTAAAATAATCCTGGGTAACCCAGAAGAAACAAATGAGAAATGGCTCCGAGGGGATACACCTTCAATCAAGTCCTTGCAATATTCCCACGGAAAGCCTCCTGAATTGAGCTTGTGATTCAGAACTATAAAGAATTGATCAATACAAGGCCACAGTGCACTCATCACACTCAAGAATCAGCAAACTCCCAGCAGGGCTCAACCACCAAGAACTGAAGATAATACATCAGTCTGATAGAGGTAAGCAAATTTAAAGTAATTCAAATATAAAAGAAGGACACAAAACAGACACTATGAAAAGAGAAAAGCATCGTGAAAAAGGAATCAAAGAAAGCCTAGAAATGAAAATTACAGTCCCTGGAATTACCATGTGCCTTGGAACTATGTATGGACAAGTTACAGAACTGAATAGACATGGAGCTGAAAAGGAAATGTTTTTAATCAGAAAGTTCAGAAGGAAGCCCAGAAATAAAGAAATGTTAATAGAAAATAGACTAAAGAGGTTAGGAGACACGGAGGACATGAGACTACAGCATATTGCTAGTTCCAGAGAAAATGGGGAAGGGGAACAGATACTCCAAGAGATATTGCCTGAGAATTTTGTAGAGTTGAAATGCATCAATCCTCAGTTTGAGGGAGCACAGCAAGTTCTTAACAAGATAAGCCAAATGAATGGATTTTTTCATACTGAATTCTCACACTGCAAATTACAATTTCTTTCTTCTCGTTTCTTTCAAAGTGTCAAAAAAACTCCTTATAATAAAAAAAATTAAAATTGTATTTGTTGTAACATCCTAGTTGCTGGGGGTGGGTGTGGTAAAATCATTTATTTGCAGGATTTGGCGTAACAGAAATCTGCAGAAACAGGAGAGTCGGCGCAATGGCTCTTTGGAAGATATCTAGGAGGCTCTCTGTGCCGACCACACCCTTCCTTTCAAATTTATCTTTCGTGCTTCTTTTCTGGAGTTTTGTGTCTGTAGGGTACAGGCAGGAAACAGATGGCCCACTCAAACTGGGAAAGAAGGAAGTTTAAGGAAGAGACTGTTTGCACAGACATGGGCAGGGTGTAGGGGAAACCATGGATGGTGCAGCTCTGGGGTCCAGCAATGGTGAGAAGCCATCACCAACCCTGCCAGGAGAGAGCAAGAAGAGGGGGTGAGCTGGAACCCAGAGAGCCAGCTGTGTGGAGGGGGTTGGGTGTGGCAAGAGCTGTGGCCCTCTGAAGGGCCCTGCAGCCAACCTGCACGGCAAGAACCGAACTCCAACAGACATTTGTCCACAGAGTCCTGGTTTGCTCCCATCGTTCTTTCTCAAAAGTACCACAGTTTGGACAATAAATGGGTTGATCACTCATACAAAGGTGCCTGTTGGTACAGTCCATACGGAACAGCTTTCTGACAAAGCAAAGCAGGGGAGGTTGGAGAGTGAATTGGGGGTCAGGGGAGTAATGGAAAATATTCAGCATGAACATCTACTGCTCAGTCGTAAATGTCTTTTTTTTTTTTTTTTTTTTGAGACAAGGTCTGGCTCTGTCACCCAGGCTGGAGTGCAGTGGCACGATCTCGGCTCACCACAACCTCTGCTTCCCGGGCCCATGACATCCTCCCACTTCAGCCTCCCGAGTAGCTGGAACTACAGGCGTGCACCATCAGGCACAGCTAAGTTTTGTATTTTTTGTAAAGATGTGGTTTTACCATTTGCCCAGGCTGCTCTTGAACTCCTGAGCTCAATTTAACTGAGCCTGCAGTGGTTACTGAATGCCCAAGAGAACAGTGGCGGCAGTGGGGGGTGGCAGGGGCACAGAGGGGCAGGGGGATTCTTCTTGAGAAGAAACTGTTAGATTCCCTCTTTAGATTTTCACCAAGGAAGACGTGGCTTGTGGTCACAGGGGTGAATTTAGGCTTCTGAGCCGGGAGACATTGAATCTGCCTGCCTCGGCTGCCTGCCTCCCAAAGTGCTAGGACTACAGGCATGAGTGCTAGGGTTAAACCAGCTTTATTGAGATATAATTCGCATACCATAAAATGCACTCTTTTAAATTGCAAAATTCAGTGAGTTTTAGTATATTCACAGTTGTGCAACTATCCCCACAATCAATTTTAGAACATTGTTATCACCCCTCAAACCAACCCGCTACCTATTAGCAGTCATTCTCCTTTTCCACACAACCTCCCTTGTCCCTAGCCCTACGTAACCACTAATCTACTCTGTCTCTATGGATTTGCCTATTCTGGACATTTCATGTAAATGAATCATACAACATGTGGCCTTTTAAAATCTGGTTTGTTTCACTTAGCATAGTGTTCTCAAGGTTTATCCATGCAGTAGCGTGGATCGATACTTTATTTTTTTATGGCTGAATAATATTTCATTGTCTGGTTATATCACATCTTGTTTATTCATCACTTGATGGATATTCGAGTTGTTTGTACTTCTTGGCTGTTACTAATAAAGGTGCTATGAACACTTGGGTGAGTTTCTGTGTGGGTATGTTTTCAATTCTCTTGGATATATACCTATAGTGGAATTGCTGGGTTCTGTGGAAAATCTATGTGTATCCTTTTGAGGAACTTACAAAGTGTTTTCCCATAAGTGGTGTTTTATTTCTTATGATTCATAAGGTTTTTTACGTCATGAAATAACTGGTAGAGTCATTGTCCATCTATTTGTAACAGTTGACACCATCCATCCACACAAAGAGATTGGCTGCTATAAGTTCCCCAAATAGTCATTGGTGGTGTGGTAAATCTCTCCATTCCCCAGATTTGGACACATAGCAGATTGTTTATTGAGTCTTCAAATAGCATGATTTTAAAGATTTAAAAATTCATTTTGGAATAAACTATTGTTTAGATGTTTCTAGCATTAAGACACTTGGGCAAACAAAATCTTATTGTAGTCAATTAATGGTCTGACTATATGCCAGTCTCTTGTAAGTTTGGCTAGTAGGAGTCTGTCACTGAGAGCTTAACTCTGGATTTGCTGGCAAAGCCAAGATTCTGTACCTTGCACTGCAAGCTTTGTGGGTATTCTGGTTTGTTTGGAAAACAAAGTATATTAAATGGCACTGGAATTAGGCAGACATTGGGGAAAGATGTTGAACACCAGCAGTTTGGCATCTATCGTCTTTACTCTGTCCACTTTATACATTTAAGTAACCAGGGTGGCTCAGAGCTTCCTCCCCAGAACAACTCTACCAGATTGCCTGCAATTTCAAGAGGTTTTACCTGAGCAGACAGCAGATTTTCTTCTCCTAGGTTTTCAGCTTTTCTTTGAAATCAACAACAGAGACAACAACATGGGAGACTATTTTTAATGGGGGCAGTGTGTAAGATGGAATGGGCATGGGGTTTGAAGTCATAGAGACTGAAGTTCGAATTCTGATGTTTCAATGTTTCAGCTGTGTCCATTAGCAAATTACTTGACTGGCCCATCCCATTGCATAAAATACAAAATGTAATGCTCATTTCAAAATCTTGAGAATTAGAGATAATATGGTTACTGAGCTTAGCTTGCAGCAGTTACTGAATGCCTAAGAGAACGGTGGGGGCAGGGGCAGGGGGGTAGGGGGATTCTTTTTAACAAGAAACTGTTAGATTTCCTCTCTAGATTCTCACTAAGGAAGGCTTGGTTTGGGCTAATAGCGGTGACTTTAGGCTTCTGAGCCAGGAGACATTTAATCAATTGTTTCAAAGCAGTTCTGTCTTGTTTACTTTTAATAATGGGTTTGTTTGCTTTTAATAATAAGAACCAGCCCCAGCCCTCCAATTTTCTGAAGGTTGTGAGCAGATGGAGGCTTGTGACCTGGAGTTCAGTGGTAATCTTTCCAGCCACAAGTGGCCAGCGGCCACAGGCAACAAATGAAAACAGGTTGTGTACAGGGAACCATTTCATTTGCAGGGTGTAATGCTATTTACCTGGGATCCTATCCAGCAGCTTCAAAGGTGGTGGCAGCCATTACCCAACTAATGAGCACCACACCTCCTGGCTCCCTGTCCTCAAGGCGGGAAGATGCCGTGATGCACATCAGGAGATGGAGGGAAAAGAAATGACTTGCCCACCTGAGTGGCAGGTGAGTCACATAGCTTCTCTGGGCCTCACTTTCCTCATTTGTAAAATGAGAGGATTGGTCGCTTCCGGGTGATGTCTTCCATATGAGTCTGGCTGACCTGTAGTCCTGATTTTAAGCTCTCTCTGGGTTCTTTGTCTGTTTTCAATATCTAGACGTATATATCTATCTCTGTGTGTATGTGCGTGTTTACATGTTGCAGAAACAGTTGGGAAAAGACATTAAGGAAGGGATGGTGCTGTTGGCTCCAGGCAGTGACTCAAGGAGGCATTCATGGAGAAAGAAGAAAGGCCTTTCTCAGGTGATGCTTCATCTTCCCCCATGTGCTCTGATGCCCCATCCCCGCCTTGATGTGTCTATAAATACAAACAGCAGGAAGCCCGCATCACTAGGCAAAGCAGGTGGCCGCCACCCATTCTTCTTCCCAATGGCCACTGGGACAGTTCCTTTCCCCCAAAACTTGTTGTTTATATTTATTTTACCCTAAAGCTATTTTAATATAAACCTGTTGAAATAGGAGAGAGCTTCTCATACCTCCACAGACATGTATTTTCCAGAACAAATTCAAGACTAATCATAAAATGAAAACAGATTTCCACAAAGTTGTTCTTTATAATCTACATTTTTTTCTGACAGGCAGCTTAATACTTCAAAGGGCAACCCATTCCTTTATTGGTTATAACTAATTGTTGGAGATTTTCTTTAGCGCGAGTTGAAATTTTTCTTCCCTTGTCAAAGTGAAGGAAGGGCCTTGTATAAAGGACCTATCATCAAGGTACCATCTCTCTTTAAACTTTAACTCCCAGAGGAGAAAAACCTATAGCCACACAATTCATGTACTTTTTAGTCATTGGAGCTCTATGACTATTATCATTATAGAAACTATTCTAATGTAATAATAATTTGAAAACTGGATTTTAAGAATTCAAATTTAGAAATAGCAGTTCTCTCAAGAGACTCATTCATGAATATGGAAAGATCTTTTATCAAGTAATTCCCCCCGGGGGCTCTTTAAATGGCAGTCTCCTTCATTTTGATTCAATTTGTAGAAATCCCATTTAGATGCATTACTGGACCACCGCATTGTGTAAAGGAAGGTAAATTATGTGTTGGGTAACCATTTGGCTCTCTCTTTCTTCCCAACTTGTGACTAATTGATTTTGCCATTAATTGGGATTTCCCCTGGAGGCCATTTGATCCGTTTGCAGGATGAGCAGGGAGTTGGAGCAGCCCCTCCAGATGGGATGGCTTTCAATAAGCAGACAGTCCAAAGGGGCATCAGAGTGATACAGAAACGATTAATTGAATAACTCACTTGAAAATCATGTGCTGCTTTAAAGACCTGAAAGCTGAGTAAATACCTAAGTAAAGACCATACTGATCAAGTAAGACTCCTTGTTGTAGCCTGGCTGAGAACAATGCCAGGAAAAAAAAGAAATTTAAGAGCATCCCATTAATGGATTCTTCAAAATACTGGAAGCATGATTCCAGGCAATAACATACTATAATCCCGATAATACTCACATTTGCATAACTCTACATAATTTATGAAGCATTTTCACAGATATTGTGCAGATCTCACACTGACACAGGGGGTAGGTTGGCTGTGAAAGGGCTAAACTGGACTTACATTCCAGGAGCAGAAACAGGCTTGGAGCTGTGGACTTCTCAAAGGCACACAACAAGTAAGTGGCAGAATATCACCAGAACCCAAAACTTCTAATTCTAAATTTCTTAACAACACACAGCACCATCTCCCCAGTGCATCACAGCTAAAAACCACCTTACTGGATTCTCTTACCCTGGAGAAGAATGCATACTGACTGAGGACTCTGCTCCATGCCTGGCAAAATATCTGACATTTGAGGACACAGAGGTCCAAGCCAGATTGCTACCTGCCCAAAGCATCTAATCCCGGGATACATGCCTGCATCATTTTCTGATATTTTAAAGCAGTGGATTCCTTTCTATGGGCTGTGAAGAGAGGGTCCTCCATGGAATGTGCTGAAGGGGTTCATACATCCTTATGAACCAACAAGCCTTGCGTATTGAGAGACTGAAAATACAAATGGACAACGGCCAGACCACATATAAAAGTAGAACTTGGACCCAAAACCTGCAGAAGCATGGCCAGGAAACCAACCCACTTATCTATAACTATCAGCCCGGAAAGCCAGCTTACTATAAGTCAGACTTGCAGGAAGCCAGAATTGCTATCCCTAGTAACAAAATAGGAAGTTAAAGGATAACTTCTGTAACAATTGACCCAAAATGGCTAGGGTTTGATTAATAGCCGACAGCCTTCCTGATTTTTGTCCCTGCTTCCAATTTAGGACCAACCAGAGAAAGCGAGATATGCACCCTAATCAATCACATAGGATGCCCCACTTCTCATTAGCCGCCTCCAGCTTCTCCAGGACAACAGCTTCCAATCAGGGCACGCGGAAGCCTTCCCTTTTTCCCATTTGATAAGTTTTCCACTCCTCTTCCTGCTTTTGAGTCTCTTTCAGAACAAGGAGTTGGTGGTTGACTCCCTTGCTATAGCAAGCTCAGAATAAATAGCTTTTGCTTTTCTCGTTTGGTTTGTCTTTGTTCATTTTCACAGTAAAAATCCAAGAAATAATATGTCTCATTCATACACATACCCTTCTCTTCAAATATTTGTAGCTACTGCTGTGATGTGCAAAACACCAATTCAGTTAGAATGCACAATGCCTATTCTGTGGAATCACTAACACTTCACTTTATGGTACAATGCATCAACCCCTTGCATTAAAAAGAAGAAAGCGCATTTGTAAGTACTAGTTTTTTAAAATACTGAGTGTAAAAGCAAGTTGCAAACCAGCATTTATATTATTATTCCAAATTGTAGACACAATAACAAATATCATGGTTATTGCAAAGAAAGGTTCTGGAGCTCAGTTGCTGAGATTTGAACCTTGATCCACCCCTTGCTTAATTGGACCATGTGCAAGTTTATTTACTGCTTTGTGAGCCTCAGTTTGCTCTTTTGTCAAATGAAATCTAATAATCCTATATCAGGAATGTGATGTGAGGATTAAAAATAATATAGGCAAAATGTAAAGTGTGTGGCAAGTGCTTTGCTCATTGCGATATTAGCTACTAACACTACTGTTACTGTACAATATGCAGAAAATGATCCAGAAAATACACAAAAGCAGTTGTCAGTGACGTTTATCTCAATGGATGTCATAATGATGGACTCCAACATTCTACATAATACATTTCTGTATTATTTGTATTATTTTTACAAGTATGTGTTAGTTTTATACAGATAAATACAATTTTAAACGGTTAAAGATGGTCTCATATTTAAAAAGCACATTAGGAGCCACTGTGTTAAATTATGCAGTGCAGACACATAACCAAAAGGCTATGCATGGTGGGAATAGTGAGGCAGAACAAGAACTTTCTAGAAAAGGAGAGAAAGGAGAGATCCTGTGGAGCTGAGCTGGGAACCAGGCTGGGGAGGAGAGGGAATGGCTGTCCCCAGGAGCAGCTATGCATGTAAACTAGACATGAGGCTCGATTTTATCTAGAATTTTCCTTCTCTTGTCTCTATATGCTGTCTCCTACTACCCTCTAGCAGTCAACTTTATACCCTGTGAGGACTTACAGAAATGGAAGGAGAGGTGCTGACTTTGTCTACCTCATAAGAGGAGGACAAGGGGAAGCCATCATCCTGACCTTTCTATCTCACCGGGAAATGGGTATCTACCTCTTCGCATTTGTTTACTAAGAAGTGCTATTCAAGTGATTTTTCCTAGAATAACGAAAGATGTTTCTAGAAGGTTTGCTTTCTCCCCAACACAAAGAAGCAGCCACGAATTCCTAAACATCAAGCTTTTTAAAAAAAATTCCATTTCACCAGGCAATCCACTATGCACGTGAGAACAGTACCTACTTCATATGCTTGTTGTAAGATGTAATCAAGACCATGTACCTAAGCTGTTTACACAGAGGCAGCACAAGTTAGGCACACCTTGAATATCTGTGTCTTAGTCTGTTTTCTGCAGCTATACCAGAATACCTGAGATGGATTAATTTATAAACAATAGAAGTTTATTTGGCTCACTGTTCCAGAGACTGGAAAGTCTAAGAGCATGGTGCCTGCATCTGGTGAGGGCCTTCATGTTGTGTCATCTCATGGCAGAAGGTGGAAGGCAAGAAAGGGCAACAGTGAGCAAGCAAGAGGAGGCCGGACTCACTTTTATAACAAAGGTACTTTCGAGATAAATAACTCACTCCTGTTATAACAACATTAATCCATTCATGAGGGCAGAGCCCTCTGACCTAATCACCTTTTATTAGGCCCCACCTCCCAAAAACTGTTGCATGGGATTAAGTTTCCAATACATGAAGTTTGGAGGACACATGCAAACAATAGCAATTTATAAATAAGGACCAAAATTTGTTGAGGACTTAACAGGTGAACCCAAGAGCTACAATGGGGCTCCAGGCACAGTCTTTGCCTTCAACGGGTATATTAGTCTGTTCTCATGCTGCTAATAAAGACATACCCAAGACTGAGTAATTTATAAAGAAAAAGAGATTTAACGGACTCACAGTTCCACATGGCTGGGGAGGCCTCACAATCATGGTGGAAGGTGAAGGAGGAGCAAGGACATGTCTTACATGGTGGCAGGCAATAGAACGTGTGCAGGGGAACTGCCCCTTATCAAACCATCAGTTCTCATGAGACTTATTCACTATCATGAGAATAGTATGGGAAAAACCTGCCCCCATGATTTAATTACCTCCCACCAGGTCCCTCCCATGACACATGGGGATTATGGGAGCTACAATTCAAGGTGAGATTTTGGTGGGGACACAGTCAAACTGTATCAAGGGCATACAGACTGAAGGTTGAAAACTCAGGATAAGGCAACGATAGTATAATGAGGAAGACAGAAATGCTCATCAAAACCCTACTGGTTTGGAATCTACTGTCCTAATAATGAAGCTAATATTCTTCATTTTGCAGCCACCTCTACTCTTCTCTCTTTATTCTATTTTGCCTTTGTTTAAGCAATGAAGCTTAGAAGGCAGGGTTCATAAGTGGCTCAGACTCTTAGGTAATGTTTTTCATGTACACAACACAGGAAACCAAAGCAGGACCTTGGAATCCATTCAGGATTGTGATGATTAACTTTATGTGTCAACTTAGAGGGTGTTGCTGGATGAGATTAACATTTAAGTTGGTGAACTTTGAGTAAAGGAGATTTCTCTTCGTAATATGGGTGGGCCTCATTCAATGAGTTGAAGATCTGAATAGGAAAAAGACCAACTTCCCTGAGCAGGAAGGAATTCTCCAGTAGACTGCCTTTGAACTTCACTGGCACCATTGGCTCTCCTGAATCTCCAGCCTGTGGGCCCATGCTGCAGAATCGACTTGCTAGCCTCCAGCCTCCATAATCACGTGAGCTAATTTTTTATAATGAAGCTCTGTATTTATTTATTACTATAATAAATTTATGTTTATACATATGTAAATCTATACACACACACACACGCACACACACACACACACATATATTTACAGAGGTCAATAACTGTGGCCCACAGACCAAATCTGGCCTACCACATGCTTTTGTAAATAAAGTTTTATTGGTAGGGTACACAACAAAGCACATTCATTTACATATTTTCTATGGATATTTTTGAGTTATAACAACAGTTGAGTATTTGTGAAATAGGGCCTGCAAAGCCCTAGCAAGCCTAAAATACCTATATGTGTGTGTGTGTATATATGTATATAAATATATATGTGTATATGAAATAATGTATAAATATATTTATACATTTTG